AATTGAGATATAGAACTATAAAAACCATAATCGCCACAAAGGATAAGAAGCACCAGAAGTTGATACATGACTACGAAAACTCTCCATTTATGTATAAAGAGTCATATTGTCTTATAATATTAAGAAATCCAAATGGTATATATAGAATTTCATTAAATTGGGTTTCTCCAATTATGATTAAACTGTAGGCCAATCCCACTAAGGCTATGTTTGGTAAAACTAGCTGATAAGCTAGCTGATAGTTGATAAACTAGCTTATAGCTTATTAGTAATTTTCGAGCTTATAGTTTATAACTTATGACTTATAGCTGAAAAGCTAGCTTATATGATACAAGTGTTTGGTAAAATTAGCTAATAAGCTAACTGAAATAAAAATTTCAACGAGCTTATTTGAATAGCTACCAAAAGAAGCTTATCAAATAAGCTCGAGCTTTTTAAATAAGCTCGTCCTACCAAATGGGGCTTATTTAAATATAGAGAGCTTATAAGCTAATCAAATAAGCTATAAGCTAGCTTATTGGTCTACCAAACATAGCCTAATCAAGTAATCCTAATTGAAATGATATAGTTATTCCACTAAAGTAGTATTATCGAAATACTCACGATTTAATTCTCAAATAACGATTTGAGCTCCACTTCTAATATAATAAAACATTACATCCCATATTTAAGATATAATATTCCTCAATTAATTGAATTATTGATAATAATATTAATCGACTTCTACAATCGAAGCTAGCACCGTTCAATCATTATTATCATGTCGGAAATTAGTCCACCTGCAGGGTTTAACATGACAATCCTTCTAAACTCACTTTGGAGACATCATCATACATCAACTATGTGAAGTACATGGAGATCGTAAATATTATAACATAATACCATGTCATGTAGGAATAACTACCCAACCCAGACAGATATTGGTCAATATCAACAAACCTCACATTTTTTAATCAAAGCAGTAATTACTGCACACATATGTTTGTTTATATCTTACTGGTTAAGAGACAATAATTAGTCGAGGCTTAGTTCGTTTACGATAATCAGTATAAAATGAATTGCTCCTCTCTGGATCCATTCACCACACTACTATTGCGACTAATCAGTCAAGACATATTGTACCGCTCACACTACAATTATTCTGATGGTCATCTAGATTGTGAATCAATTTTTTTTATGTTTCGAAAGTGACCGATAAATAATGTTTTGTTCATCCGAGATGAACCATTTATTTAAATGCAAAGCAAGTGATCGTAGAACTTTATTTAATCAAATATGAATTCTCATTCAATGTAAATAGTGTGAATAATATCTAAAGTCGAGCTTTCAGTATACACACTAACATCCCTGTCACTGCCGTCACAAATTTGCACACTACTTCTTTCTTGTTTCACTCGCTTCTTCCATTTTTGTCATCTGTGCATCATGCTTTCATCATCCCGGGGGTCTTAGATACGCACCATGCGCCTCCAATAGCCAAAAGCTCTACGAAAATGAGGAAATATCTACAAAACAAGTACGTGTAATATCTTTCCAACAAGATATAGAATTTAAGGCACAATAATGCAATTCATACAGCAATAATGCAATGAATAAGCTCTACATACTACATAAATATGGTAAAATCACACATGAACACTCCGATATGGAGTTGGTCCTCGACTCGTGTTGACGCGGTAAGTCGGGGAAGGGGGACCTCTCTGTTGGGATCGAGCGGGTGACCGGGGATGACTCAGCGCTCGATCTCTTTTTGGAGCCTGTGACGAGCTAGCTTCTTCCTGGTGGACTGGGTTGAACATCACGATCTCCTTTTGTGGTTGAGGTCTTGTCCGCCTCAAGATTCGTCTTCCTCGTCGCCACTCTCGGGGTCGTCTTCACGTCGGCCCTTCTTTCTCCTCTCACTTTCTCTATTGAACTTCTTCACTGTGAGATCCTTTATCAGCTTCAATAATTCCAAGCGGAGATTCCTACACCGGTAGGTTGTATGCTCGTACCCTTTGTGTTAGCCTCAATACCGGGACGTGTCCAATCGGCTTTCATCTGCAACTATTTTCCTGTCGTCGGGGATGATCCCCTTGTTTTTTTTATCTCCTCGTAGATTTCTGCGCCCCCTATCAGGTAAATGCTCATGTAGTTTCTTTCTGTTGTTTTCTTAGAGCTCGGACTTGGGCTCTATCCTTTTTCAGTTTACCCTTTAGCTTCTTAGAGCTCGGACTTGGGCTCTGTCTTTCTCCGATATTGATTCCTCTGCCATAATGTGTTGTTGAGCCTTGGCTAGGAAGTCCTGGTACGTGGTCGGCTTGCTTCGACACAACGTACATCTGAACATTGAGTTCACTTTCAAGTCGGCTTGCGCTGACACCAGCAGGGTCTCTTGTGCTGGTTTCATATTCTGCACTTGGTCGTTAAATTGAGTAATGTCATCCTCCAAGTTGTCATCATCCCCCAAGACGATGTTGGTTATGAACTCATTTGGGATCATGCACACCCGGGATCTGATGAAGTGGGACCGAAATGCCGACTTCAACTGTCTCCCAGTCAAGATTTGGTGGGGATAGAGAAAGAGGTACCACCTCTGGGCTTTGGGCCCTAATGTTAGTGAGAACATCCAGCACATTTGTGCATCTTTGGCCCGTGAAGTTCCATGCACGATGTATAAAGACCGACGTGGGCGTCGGGGTCCGAGTTCCAATCGTACAATCTGGTCTGGGAATTTTCACACTCCCGGGCAGCGGCTCGCAAAGGACGTCCTCGAAAAGCGGGGAGGCTGTGTCGACAATGTGGTTAATGAATTTCAGGGGAGACGGGGATGGTGACCTTCGACCGTACTTCTGTCGTGTTTCTTGCTCGGAGCGGCAATGGTGACCTTCGGTCGTGCTTACGTCGAACTTCAAGTTTGCCGATCTTCTTTTTCAGAACGGGTAATCTCATCAGAGTCGCAATTCGTCGATTTCCCTTTCGGTGTTCAACCTCAAATCCTGCTTAGGCTCTTGGTTGTCAAGACGTCGAAGGATCGAGGGACCAGGGCGCCTAATCTAAAGAGTGGAAGCCGACATGCTTTTCCCGATTTCTTCTATCAATGCGTGTCGGGCAGTTTTATCTGTTTGTGTCGTAGTCGCACAGTTCAGGGATTGGGTCATGGATTGATAAAGGATTGACCCTTTGTTCTTGTTTTCCATGGTACGCTTTGTTCTCTTCTCCGGTGTCAGTAACATATTGGTCGTCGGGGTTTTTCCAGTTTCTGCCACCGTGACCTGGTTCGCCGATGCGATTGCCGCCAAAATTTGGGCCACGGTGTTCTTCATGCTTTTGAGAAAGTCGGGGTGCTGAATCACCGCTGCGAGACCAGTCGTGGGAATGGCGGTGCGCGATAGTTCTGCCGCCTGTCTCCATGTTGTCGATCGCGGGCGTGATGGCGTGCATCTGTT